TGAGCTGAATCTTGAAGGATAAGTAGGGCTTCGCCCTATGACTAAAGGGGATAGGAAGGGCATTCCCGGCAAATCAAACAGCATGGACAAAGGTGTAAAAGTGAGTGGTTAAGGGACAGACTTAGATCCAGCAAGGCAAATAGGATACATAAGCACTAGGGAATTAGAACTGAGTTAAAAAGGTAAGATGAGGCAAAATCAGGAAGGACCTTATTCTGTAGGTTACAAGGAGCCTTCAGAAGATTTTATACCACACAGCATAGTTAGATCTGTATTTTGAAAAAATAAAATAAAAAAAACTCGAGGCAATGTAGAAAATGAATTGGGTAGAGACCAGAGGCTACAGCAAACATTTAGATGAGTGTCATGGGCCTAGATGATGTGAATGGCAATGGGAAATGAGGAGACAGATTCCATGGGCATTTGTAGATGAGGGAGAGTGGATGGGAATTTGTAGCTACTTTGATATGTAGAGTGTTTCTGACTGAGTTAAAAAGATAACTTATGAATGTTGATGCCATTAAAGAAGGTTCAAAAGAGGGGGGAAAAAAGAGTAACTAATGTAATAATCTGAACAATAAAGATTTAATTAAAAAAAAAAAGAGAGAGGGGCAGAGTTGTGTGTAGATAATCTACACTAATAAAAGAGAAACATGGTAATTGGCGTACGACCGCTACCCTTTTCATTGGCTAATCAGGGCGATATGCAAATTAACTGCCAACTAAGATGGCGGTTAACCGCCAACAAAGATGGCGGTTAATTTGCATATGTAGGCACAATGCAGGGAGGCGAAAGGGAAAGCAGGAAGAAGCCCCCTGCCACTGACAGTGATCGGAAACCCAGGGGGGAGCTAAGAGCCGTGGGGCAGGGCAAAGGCGGCCATGATCGGAGAATTGGGTGCCTTTGCCACCCTGGCCAGTGATAGCAGGAAGCAGGGGTGGAGCCAGCGATGGGAGCTGGGCACAGTCGAAGCTGGCAGTCCTGGGAGCTAGGGGTCCCTTGCCTGGGCCTAAAGCGGAGCCCGCGATCGCGGGGCCGCTGCAGCTGCGGGTCCCTGCTGCCTGGGCTGGATGCCTCAGCCAGAGGCGTCCTGCGGGGGCAGGGGCGGAGCCCGCACGATCACGGCACCGCTGCCACAGCGGGTCCCCGCTGCCCGGGCCAGATGCCTCGACCAGAGGCGTTAGGCCTGGGCAGGGGCAGAGCGGGAGATCGCAGGGAGCTGGGAGTCCCCTGCCCAGGCCTAATGCGTTAGGCCTGGGCAGGGGCGGAGCCTGCAACCGTGGGGAGCTGGGGGTGCCCTGCCCAGGCCTGACACCTCTGCTGGAGGCCTCAGGCCTGGGCAAGGGGCCGATCCGGTGATCGGCGATCGGAGGATGATGAGGGTCAACTCCTCTGGCCGAGGCATCAGGCCTGGGTGGGGGGCGGAGCTGGGGATTGGGGGGATATGACGGTCCCCTTGCCCAGGCCTGAAGCCTGGGTCAGAGGCGTCAGGCTTGGGTGGGGGGTGGAGCAAGCGATCAGAGGGAGATGGGGGTCCTGTGCCCAGGCATGATTCCTGGGCCAGAGGCATCAGGCGTGGGCGGGGGTCAGAGCCAGTGATCGGGGGGAGATGGGGGTCCCCTGTCCAAGCCTGACACCTCTGGCGGAGGCATCAGGCGTGGGCGGGGGTCAGAGCCAGTGATCGGGGGGAGATGGGGGTCCCCTGTCCAAGCCTGACACCTCTGGCGGAGGCATCAGGCCTGGGCAAGGGGCCAATCAGGCGATGGGAGGGTGATGGGGGTCGACGCCTCTGGCTGAGGCATTAGGCCTGGGCAAGGGCGGAGCCAGTGATGGGGGGAGAAGGGGGTCCCCTGCCCAGGCCTGAATCCTGGGCCAGAGGCATCAGGCCTGGGCCAGGGGCAGAGCCAGCAATCGGAGGGGGCTGGGGGCAGAACCAGTGATGGGGGGAAATGAGGGTCCCCTGCCCAGGCCTGACACCTCTGGCAGAGGCGTCAGGCCTGGGCAAGGGGCCGATCCTGCGATTGGAGGGTGATGGGGGTCAACACCTGAGGGCTCCCAGTATGTGAGAGGGGCCAGGCTGGGCTGAGGGACACTCCCCCCCCCCCGTGCACGAATTTCGTGCACCGGGCCCCTAGTCTTTCTATATAAAAGGTTAATATGCAAAGTGTTCCCTCGGGAGTTTGACCTGGAGACCAGGAGCTCGATCGCTCACTATGACGTGCGCAGACCACCAGGGGGTGGCACGGAATGAAGGAAGGCCGTGGCCGGCAGCTGGCAGCCAGGGAAGGAAGGCCCCAGCCAGCAGCTGGAAGGCCCTGATTGGCCCTGACTGCTGGCCAGGCCTAGGGACCCTACCCATGTGCAAATTTTGTGCACCAGGCCGCTAGTTAAAATATATTGGCGAGTGACTATTAACATCTATCCAGTTACACAAGCCTGACACCTGGGAATCATCCTAGGCTACTCACTTATTAGGTAGTCGTCACCACGTCCTAGAGATCCCACTTCTTTCACATCTCTTAAATTCAGCTCATCTTTATGGTTTCTAGGTCTACTGCTATCATAATCTATCATAACTGAAGTTCCCATTTCTCTCTTGGGTTAATAGTCTCTTAAGTGGTCTCCCTATACTGCAACCCCCATCTAATCTATCCTTTATAGTGCTACCACAATTTTCTTTCTAAAACAAAAATCTGAACGTTTTAATTAAACTCCTAATTGAAAACCCTCAAAGTGTCTTTCTCCCCCAGTAGCTTGCAGGACACAGCTGAAATGTCTTGGTTTAACATAAAAGGCCATTTAAAATTCCAATCCCGCCTACTTCTCCTACAACTCTCACCATGTACCCTTTGCTTCTGCCACATGGAATTTCTTTTTTTTTTTTTTAAAAAATATATTTTATTGATTTTTTACAGAGAGGAAGGGAGAGAGATAGAGAGTTAGAAACATCGATGAGAGAGAAACATCGATCAGCTGCCTCCTGCACATCTCCCACTGGGGATGTGCCCGCAACCCAGGTACATGCCCTTGACCGGAATCGAACCTGGGACCCTTCAGTCTGCAGGCCGACGCTCTATCCACTGAGCCAAACCAGTTTTGGCCACATGGAATTTCTTGAAGTACTTTTAACATACCCTGCTGTTTCAGTCTCCATGCCTTTACACTTGCTATCTGCTCTGAAATGCTCCTTCCTTCCTTCACTCATAGTTAACACCTAGTTCAAACATCAAAGCCTCCAGGAAGCTTGTCCTGACACCCTGATTCACAGGCTAAATTCCTATACGTGGGTAGTACCTTCTATAGCATATTACCGTCCAATACTGTAACTGTGGCTATATCTATTTCTCTGATCAGCAAGGTCCTTTCGGCCACAGAATATGTCTGATTTGATTTTGCAGAATCTTTTTTCCCCCTGTTTGTTAATTCTCACCTGAGGATATTTTTTCATTGATTTTTAGAAAGAGTGGAAGGGAGGGGGAGAGAAAGAGAGAGAAATGTTGATGTGAGAGACACATTGATTGGTTGCCTCCCGGCACGTGCCTGACCAGGGCTGGGGATTGAGCCTGCAACCCAATTATGTGCCTTTGACTGAAATCAAACCTGGGACTCTTCAGTCCACAGGCTGACGTTCTATTCACTGAGCCAAACCGGCTGGGGTGATTTTGCAGAATCTATTAGTGGTGTCTGGCACAGGAACCAAGCACTCAGAAAACATTTGTTGAGGGAGCTGTTTTAGACCTATTAACTGATGTGCTTGAAGAAAATATATATATATATGTTGTTATGTGAAAGGGGCAGCATGCACAATAAGATTTAATTCTTTTGTTGTTGTTGTTAATCCTCACCTGAGGGTACTTTTCCATTGATTTTTTGAGAGAGAAGAGGGATGGGGAGAGAGGGGGAGGGGAGGGGGGAGAGAGAGAGAGAGAGAGAGAGAGAGAGAGAGAGAGAGAGAGAGAGAGAGATGAGAGAGATACATCAATTGCTTCCCCCATGCACCCCAACCAGGGCTGGGGACTAAGCCTGCAACCAAGGTATGTGCCTTGGACTGGAATCGAACCCAGGACCCTTAAGTCTGTAGGCTGACACTCTATCCAGTGAGCCAAACCCGCTTGAGCAAGATCTAATTCTTGTTTTAAAAACATAAAGCTATTAAAAGGAAATGAGAATTATGGAGCTAAAGCCAGTTCAGGATTGGAGGCAGTGAGTGAGTAAGTCAATTGAGAATGGCCAAGGACAGAACCCTGAGAAACAGCAGGGGTTGAAGAGGAAGAGACAGCAGGGATATAGGAAGAGAACAAGGAAAAACAGAACCACTGAAAGCTGAGAACTATATGTTTAAAGCAGGAAAAAATTCATGTCAAATGCTACAGAGCCAGTGAAACCCCAGGAGAATACGGTTGAGAAGGTGAACATTTTAGGTTCTCTTTGTTTATATCACATTTGCCTAGATCAATACACAAGAAGCACAGGGGACAGCTTAGAATAATAATTTATGTTTTAGGTTTAAAATTGGTTATATTTAATCTTACAGCTGAGACAAAATAAAAATCTTTTAGATATTTTACACTACCTAAAACTATGATAAAGCATTTGTTAAGCCAAGAAGATGGAAAAATTAAAATATTTTAGTATCTTTTTTCTTTCCTTAATTACCTCTTATTCAAGTATCCATTATTATTTCTTAAAACACCTAACATGGATTAGAGGGGATGGGATTTTGTTTTTTTCAAGTTTACATTAGTAGTTTGGTAGCTTGAGTTAATATTCACTGTCTGACAATCTTTAAACATCACACTTTTTCATTTACCAATTCTAACAGAAGAAACTCTGCTAACACATCTTAATTTTAATTAAGTGCTTTCATGCAATTGTAATTTCTGATAAATAAGAAGGTACTTAAAAAACAAAAAAGGCGAAAGAAAACAATAAGGTACTTTATGGAAAACAAATCAAACAATAGTATTTAACAATAGTAAGTATAAAATAACAAGCATACCCCTGTATCTGTATCAGATTTTGATGAATTTAGACTTTCCTGAGAAGGTGATGGGGACACACGTCCTGAAAAACAACATAATTATAAAAAGGCATGTACATACACACGTACACATGCACGTACGCACGCGCGCGCACACACACACAATCAGAAATAATGACACAGAAACACCTAGTTAATGGTCATAGAATGTAACATTCTAGAAAACTACATGCGAAGCATTCACTCTTTGGGCACCACAATATTTGTTTTGATTATTTTTCCATAAAATCTTTATGAAATAGATGAACCATTTCCCCAATTTAATAAAGTACTGTTAAATTCTCATTATTCATAGTGAATACATTCTTGTCAATCATAACAAGCAATAAAATGAACAATTAAGGGGCAGAAAGGGTCTAGGCTGGGGTAAGTTTGAAGGGCCACTGAAAATAGTCATTTTGTTCCAGGCAGGGAAATAAAAGAAATATATAGGAAACATTTACTATATTGTCAACTCATTATCATCTTCAATTATGTATTATGTATTATAACATAAATTCATAATTGAGAGAATAGAAAGGAGGGCATATACACAGGGCTCCTAAAGTATACAGGGCCTTGCTTGCCAGTTTAGTGCATCTTCCTAGATATCAATGTTCTTCAAATTGCTGCTTCCACTATATTTTCCTATCTCCCATCCCTTAACTTCTTGTTTTCCAGCTTTGGGATGGGAAGGTGGTGTAGGGAGGGAGGGGTTTGTGGAGAAAATTTATTGCAGTTAAATAATTATAAGAAAAGAATCCCCAAAATTCAAAGCTCCTATCTATATCAACTTTATATACTTTCCTGATAACGTACCATGATATATAAATATTGTAATCATTGTGTACATACGCCATGTTCTGAGGTTTCTTTACCATTTAACTTTTTTTCACTTACCCTTTGATGAACTGACAAATCACATTTACTTTCTATGCTTCCTTAATCATTCTTTATTTACTGGATGTATATATTATTCTAATTCTCCTAGATAAATCAGAATTTCACTTTAACCTTGGATAAAAATGAAGATTGCTAAGGGAAACCAAATGACTTTGTTCTCATTAGTTGATGAAGTTACACCTGAAAGTCAAATGCTTCGTGGTAGCTTTTTTCACTGAGTTTAGATGTTTTTTTGTTTGTTTGTTTTCTTTTTCTTTTCTTTTTTTTTTTTTTGCTATTGACTTCTGTTTTACTTTTAGGTTTGTGGCTGAAAGTAGTGGTTGCTGCAAATGATTACCAGATAAACAGGCATTATTATGCCTAAAATGTGAAAATGCCAGGTGTCTTTGGATTTTTTAAAGCCCACAAATAAGTGAAAAATACCTTCAGTATTGTATTTCATTCGCATATTGTTGAAATAGTCAAAAGCATTTTTTAAAGCCCATATTCTCACTACATTGTCTTGTCCAGCTGAGGCAAGTAATCGGCCACAGTGAGAAAATTTCATGGTCCAAACAGCTCCCTATGAAAACAATGGAAGGTTTAAAGTTATTTTAAAAACTGAAACATTAAAAAATCATGCCAAATTAATACAATACATTAGGAACACCACTTAAATCCAACAGTCCAATGATGCTACAATACCACAAAGAGGGACTTCTCAAAGAAAGGCAAGATAACATAGTTATAGTTTGCCATAATGTAAACTAACAATTTCAAGATCCCAAATCATGTCCATATATTAATGGAAATGGGAGTTCTGCAGTGGCTGGAAATCTTCAATGTTGAGCACGAATCTTAGCTTTGGATCTCAGTTTCCTAGCTGACCATAAGGGGGAGTAGGTTAGGAGGAGGCAGGGCCTTTAGCATAGCACCAACTCCTAACTAAGGCTGAGAGAAGAATATGCCCACCTTAGCAGTGACCCTCATTGTATTGGGCATTTGAAGAAATGTTGGAATGGTGTGCTTTCTTCCTGTTTTTCTCCCAAGAAATAAGGTTTTGCAGTATATGGCTAGAATTTCCCAGCAGATAAAACAGTGTGTGTGTGTGTGTGTGTGTGTGTGGGAGAGAGAGAGAGAGAGAGAGAGAGAGAGAGAGAGAGAGAGAGAGAGAGAGAGAGTGTGTTTGTGTGTGCTGGGGGAGGGTTAAAGAATGTAAGCCCTTAAATTGGAAAGGCTAAAACCTACTACAACAAATACTGTTATAACTACTACTAGAGGCCCGGTGCATGGATTCATGCACTGGAGGTGTCCTTTGGCCTGGCCTGGGGGGTTCAGGTCAAAACTGGCTCTCCGTCATCCCCCAAGGGGTCCCTCCCATATTGCGAGAGGGTGCAGGCCAGGCTGAGGGACCCCACCAGTGAACGATCAGGGCTGGGGAGGGACTGTGGGAGGGCTCCAGAGCATGTCTGGCCCAACTCGCCCAGTCACGATAAGCCAGACCCCAGCAGCAAGCTAACCTACCAGTTAGAGCATCTGCCCTCTGGTGGTCAGTGTGCATCATAGCCACTGATGAAATGGTCAAATGGTCAGAGGGTCACTTAGCATATTAGGCTTTTATATATAGATAGATAGATTACAACACACATCTATGCATCTAAAAGATTATCCAAGTTAGAGGCAACAGCTCATTTACTGGAATAATACTCATTTCCACAAAATTCAAGTATGTTAAGAAATTTGTTATTTGGAGCTTACTCCTATGAGATTTTACTTAAAACTATAAATACAGTACAAGGAAATTCATCAGATTCCTTAAGGAAGTTTCTATAATCAACTTTCAAATATTTTATAACTAGATTATAAACACCAAAGTTTAAATTCCAATCTGGCTGCCATCTGATATATGTTTGTGGGTGCTTCCTTCCAGTTAGGCCAACTTTTATATTTAAAATCTAAATAGATCTGGAGATTATTATGCTAAGTGAAATGAGCCAGTTGGTGAAAGACAAATATATGATCTCATTTATACGTGGAATCTAATGAACCAAATAAACCGATGAACAAATCAGAAACAGAGGCATGGATACATGGAACAGACTGAGAGCTGTCAGAGGGGAGGAGGGAGGAGCCTTGATGAAAGAAGGTGAAGGGATTAGTCAAAGAACATAAATGCATAACCCATTGACACAGACAACATTGTGGTGATAGTCAGAGGGAAGGGGGGGTCAAGGTGGGCAAAGGGGTGGATGGAGACATCTGTAACAGGGTAAACAATAAAAACGAAGTAAAAAATCTAAATAGATAAATGCATTCCCTGATCAAGGACCCACAGTATCATTTACCTAGTTTTCATTTCATTACTTCCTTCTCTATATTCCTAGCATTTTCAGAGGCAATATAATTTGTATACTTTATATCTACTTTGGTACATTTTAACTCTGATAGAGAATTTGTATCGCTACCTCCATGTTTTAGCTGTCACACTACAAAATATATTGAGATTTAGAAATAGTTGTGTAAGTTATTCAAATATAATGGGGAACATTTTAAACATTTTTCAAAGTGATAGACTATCCTCTAATTTAACTGTTTTAAAGTTTGGTACTTTTATATAGCTTTCTTAATAATATAGGTCTAGTGTCTATTTAATTCAATAACTCACTTCTTTTTTTTTTAAATATATTTTATTGATTTTTTACAGAGAGGAAGGGTTAGAGATAGTTAGAAACTTCGATGAGAGAGAAACATCGATCAGCTGCCTCCTGCACATCTCCTACTGGGGATGTGCCCGAAACCCAGGTACATGCCCTTGACCGGAATCGAACCTGGGACCTTTCAGTCCGCAGGCCGATGCTCTATCCACTGATCCAAACCGGTTTCGGCAATAACTCACTTCTTGAAAAATAATTCAGAGATAGACTCTATTAAATTGTATTAATAGCATTTCACTCTTCTTGAGTAAAGATAGCAAATTACATAATAAAAATAGATCTGCTTTATAGATGCTCAAGTATTTCCATGAAAACAGAATCAATAATGAAAAATAAAAAAGTTGCTTACCATATGTTCACCACTAAGATCTTGTACCACTTTTATCTGATCAAAATCATAAGGTCCTTTGAAACCATGTGCTGCTTTGAATTTGACTGGTCTTGTGTATGGCATTCCTTCATCATCACTTGATGAAGGATCATCTTGATCAGTATGAAACACTAAATAGAAAAGTAACAGAAATCATCACTAGCTATGTAGATATAACTATTATATTTCATATCCACTGCTTACTGAGAAAATTCATTAAATGGAGAAGCTAAATCTGTCTATTACTAAATAGCATATTGCCTAAGAGCATACATGGAGTCTAGTGCCAGATTGCCTGGGTCCAAATCCAACTCTGTCAATTATTATCTGTATGACTTTAGGCAAGGTACCCAACTTTTCTGTGCTTCAGTATTCTCATCTATAAAACGGGGAGGCTAGTGGTACTTACCTCAAAGGGTTTTGATGAGGATTAAATGTGCTAATACAGGTGAAAGTGCTCAGAACAGTGTCTGGCACAGAATAAGTGTTTATTATACAAAACAAATGAGTACAATTATGAGAAGGGCATAGGAAATTAAGATCTGCACAAAATTAGAAAATTTACGTAAATTTGAGAATGTTTATAAAAACTAAATACTCTTACATAACTAATTTACAACTGATTCCTGAAATGTTGAAATGTTCTATTTCACTTACCTTCATCTCTAACACTTTTAACTTTATTTACAGCACGTTCACCATATTCCTCAGCAAGGTGCTTTGCTCTCTTCACTGATTTTCCTAGGAACTTCTTCAGTTGAGTCCTTACCAAAACAATAGCAAAAAACAAAAAACAAAAACAAAAACAAAAAGAAAAAAAACCCACCAAAATTATTTTTTATAAATTCAGCCAATTATAAAAATTTAATAATTCACTGATAATCTCATTAGCTGTGACTAGTAAAGCATATTATTTTGAAGGAACTCTTTTTTTTACATAAATAGGTCTTTGAGTTCCTAAATCCTTTGTTGTATAGAATACAGGGTGGGGCAAAAGTAGGTTTAAAGTTGTTCTTACGGAAAGCAATATAATAATCTACATACAATAGGTCCTCGGGTTACAATGGAGATCCGTTCCTACAGCGGAAGTAATGTGGTTTTCACCGTAAGTCAGAACCTACCTATATAAGCACCTATGTCACTCACATGGAGTACATACACAACAGTAATGAAGTGAAACCGTAAAAAAAATTTAAAGGAAAGATAACTATTATTTACCTTTACGTGTGGTAAATAAATAAAAAACATAAAGCACATATGTACATACGTCGAAATGATGGAACTTTAAAAAAAAATACTGTAAATGGGAAATGGTGATGTAACCACGAAACGGAAACAACCTACGAGTCCGATGTAACCTGAGGACTGCCTGTATATAAAAGCCTAAGCGACCAAATGACCAAACAACCGGTTGACCGGTTGCTATGACGTGCACTGACCACCAGGGGGCAGACGCTCAATGCAGGAGTTGCCTCCTGGTGGTCAGTGCACTCCCACAGCCAACCTCCCACAGTTGGCCAACCTCCCGCAGCCCCTCCCCACCATGGCCCCTCACCCCACCACCCTCTTGTGGCCCTGATCAGTCCCCATCGCCAGCCAGGCTGAGGGATCCCACCTGTGCACGAATTCATGCACCAGGCCTCTAGTAAATAAATAATACAAGAATAAACTTTGTGTTTCCTGTACTCACAAGTGTAAAACTACTTTTGCCCCACCCTGTTTATTCAAGTCAATATAGCTACAAAGGAAATATAGGCACTTCTCCCAATATACAATACTAGTGGCCCGGTGCACGAAATTTGTGCAGGGGGAGGGGGGGATGTCCCTCAACTTGGTCTGCACCCTCTCCAATCTGGGACCGCTCACAATCTGGGACTGCTGGCTCCTACCTGCTCACCTACCTGCCTGCCTGATCTCCCCTAAAAACTCTGCCTGTTGGCCTGCTCACCCCCAACTGCCCACCCCCCAACAGGCCTCATGGCCCCCAACTACTCCCCCTGCCGGTCTACTCGCCCCCAACTGCCCCCCTACTGGCCTGCTCACCCCCAACTGACCCTCCTGCCAGCCTGCTTGCCCAAAACTGCCCTCCCCCAGCCTGCTCACCCCCAACTGCCCCTGCTGCCAGGTTGATCACCCTCAACTGCCCCCCCAGCCTGCTCGCCCACAACTGCTTCCCTCACCGGCCTGATCCCCCCCAACTGCCCCCCACTGCCGGCCTGCTCGCCCCCAACTGCCCCATCTGCTGCTCTGTTCACCCCCAACTGGCCCCCCCTGCCGGCCTGTTCTCCCCCAACTTTCCTGCCCGATCCCCAGCCTGATCACCCCCAACTGCCCTACCTGCCTGGCTTAATCACCCCTAACTGCCTCTGCCTTGGCTCCGCTACCATGGCTTTGTCTGGAAGGATGTCCAGAAGGTCACCCAGTCTAATTAGCATATTAGCCTTTTATTAGTATAGATTGTATACTCTAAAGCAGGGGTGAGGAACCTTTTTTCTGCCAAGGACTATTTGGATATTTATGACATCATAGAGGGCCATACAAAATTATCAACTTAAAAATTAGCTTGCTATATTTGATCAAACATTTAATTAACTCACCCTTAATGCCTCAGCAGGGCCAGACCAAATGATTTTGGGGGCCTTGTATGGCCCTTGGGCTGGGGTTCCCCACCTCTGCTCTAAAGCAGAGGTTTTCAATGGTGAATTATAATAAGTTGGTGAATATGGGGGTGTTTAAAGCACAGACACATGTTCCCCATCTCCAGATAATCTGATTTGGAGGGTACAGGGTCAGGCCATGAATCTGCAATGAGAATTGCTCTGAGAAGATTGCCTTAGAGAGCCATCTTGAAAAACACACTTTACCCGAAAAAGAAACTAAAGATGTATTTACTTACAAAACAGAATACTTTGGTAGCTTAAGATGGCCTCTTGTCACTTCTCTTTCAGTTTGGGTATTTGCATACAATCCAGTTAGGCAGAGCTTTCCCAGTAAGGTATTCCCAAACAGTGTAATATAAGTATGCATTTCAAGCTTCCATAAATAGGACTTACTTACTGTTTTTTAATTATCTACATCTCAAATTTCATATATTAAGATTATAAAAAACAACAAAATAAAGCTCATAGTTACAACCAAACCACAATTTATAAATCTGGGGTTAATTTTTACCAATTCATGGGAGCTCATGATACTAAGGATAGAATTTTAAAAACTTGCTAAGCTATCTATACAAAGATGTTCACTACAGCATTGTTTAGAATAGGTGAAAAAGTAGAGTTAAACTGAATTCTCAACAGAGGAATGAATAAATAAGTGATTGTATATCCTTACAATGGAATGCAATAAAATAAATGAGGCAATCCTCAGTTCTTTAAATGTACTGAGCTTAGTCACCTCAGAGCCTTTGCATGTGTGGTTATTTCTGCCTAGAACACTCCTCCCCTAGCTAATTTTTACTCTTCTTTAAGTTTCAGATCAAATAGCTCTCTCTCAAAGAAGCTCTCCCTGATGCTTTAGAACAGGCTTTCCTATTATATAGTCCTACAGTACCCCTTACATTTCTTTTATAGCAATTACTATAGATTTATCTGTGTAATTACATGTTCACTGTCTGTTTCTCCTATTGAACCTGGAAGCCATATGAGGGCAGTGATTAAGATTGTCTTCTTTCTTAAAAAAAAATATATATTTTGATTGTTTTACAGAGAGGAAGGGAAAGGTTTAGAGAGTTAGAAACATAGATGAGAGAGAAACATTAATCAGCTGCCTCCTGCACACTCCCTACTAGGCATGCGCCCGCAACCAAGATACATGCCCTTGACCTGAATCGAACCTGGGACCCTTGAGTCCGCAGGCTGACGCTCTATCCACTGAGCCAAACCGGTTAGGGCAAGATTGTCTTCTTAACTGTGATATCTGCAGCACCAAACCCCCATATCTGGCTGATAGAAAGATTATAATATTATTTACTATTGGTATTTATATGAAAAGATGTCCATTATATACTATATTTTTAAAAAACAAAAAGCAAGTTCTTTTGACCCAGCAATCCCACTTCTGGGAATATATTCAAAGAATCCTGAAATACCAATCAAAAAAGAGTATATGTGCCCCTATGTTTACAGGAGCATTATTTAGAATAGCCAAGTGTGGAAATAGCCCAAGTGCCCATCAATAGATGAGTGGATAAAAAAAGCTATGGTACATTTACACAATAGAATACTACCCAGCTTAAAAAAAAAAGGAACTTTTACCTTTTACAACAGCATGAATGGACCTGGAGAGTATTATGCTAAGTGAAATAAGCCAGTCAGAAAAAGACAAATACCATATTATTTAATTAATATGTAGAATTTAATGAACAAAATAAACTAATGAACAAAATGGGGAAAAAAGCAGGTTGACAAACTATAGGGACAATATAATCCCACTTTAGTGAGAAAAATAATTCTATGGAGAATACACCTAATTATTAATATTGAGAATTTCAGGGGTGAGCATGAGATACTTTAATTTTCTATATTACAGATTTTTGTATTACTTTTGATAATCAGAAAACACACATAATAAATATTTTTATTGCTTTTAATACTCATCCAAGGATATGTTTCCTTTGATTTTTTTAGAGAAAGTAGAAGGAAGGGAAGGAAGGAAAGAGGGAGGGGGGGAGACACACACACACACACACACACACACACACACACACACACACACATCAATTGGTTGTCTCTTATACATGCCCCAACTGGAGCAGGGATCAAACCTGCAACCTACGTATGCGCCCTGACAGGGAATTGAATCCAAGACCCTTTGGTGCCCGTGCTGATGCCCTAACCACTTAGAAACACCGACCAGGGTGATGATAAATCATTTTTAAAATCATTATAGGGTCTATGGTCCTATAATTCTGAAGTCATATTTTCTGCATAACTATAGGTTTATTACTCCTTTAAGCAAGCAAACAGATAATTTAAACATTTTGGTGAGAACATCTCTAAAATATATACTTTTGTACCTTCTTCAATGGAATTTAATGATCCATACGCTTCTTTCCTTAATAAATAGACTCAGTTACCATCATTACTGTTCTTTAATATGTTTAGGGCTTTTTAAATGGTTTGCAAGTGGGCCATAATATTAGTTTCAAACCTTGAAGACAACAGGGCAGAGCACAGGGAAGCCAGACTCTGGACCAATCTCTTCTGAACATCAGTTTACTCTAGCATTCAGTGCAAATATTACCAGCTTGTATGAGTACAATAATATGAGAAAAAGTTGAAACACTGTCATACGAAATGTTTGTGTTATGTAAGAGTGCTTTTATTATTTTTCTGATTCCTCTCTTGTAACCAGAATATTATCTGACATCCTTATGTATTGAATTAAGGTTGTCATAATTTGGCGCTTCTATTTTGTTGTAAACTCAGATACCAGATTTTTAGAAATTATGTAAGAAGTATAATGGCTTTAAAAATGAGAGGTTTTTCTTTTAGAAAAATGATGAGCTTTAATGCATGTAATAAAAAATACCTTTCCTAGATATTTATTTATCTCCTGAATAATTCCTAATTCTCCAGTTCCTCATAGTTGTCATTGCTAGATAGCCATGGTCCAGATATCTGAAGGTATTATCATAGACCTGCATTGTGGGTACAAACTTTTTCCAAAAATTCTCACAGCTTTCTTTGCTACACTTTCCACATTAGGAAAAGATGAGATTCGAGTGGAGAATTTGCTTTGGGACTGAATTATTTTATATTTACATTTATTTTATATTTTAGACTGAATTACTGCCAATTATGTGACTTACGTATAATCAAGCAAAATCTATATGCCCACAATTGTGTTAGGTTTCTGTAGGGGAAACAAGAATGGCATGATCATAACCCTTTTGTAACATATGGTTTAGCTGTGTAATATCTATTTACCTTGTTGTTTTTTAAATCAGAAAACGGTTTAAGGTAATATAAAATAAAGGGCAAACATAAGTTATAGAGACTATAGTATCACTGAAATTGAGAAAAGGAAGCAATTTTCTACAAACTGAAGGAAGTTGGGAAAAATCTCATGTAGTTGGGTTTAGAAAGACAAAGAGGATTTGCACAGATAAAGAGAAAGGGAAAAGACAACTTCAAGGACAATCAAGTTCTATTAACACTTCTGGTATCTACTGTCAGAAAAATTAATATAGGCATGATGCAAAATTTATTGATCATTTACTACATATTGGATATTCTATGACCAACATAGCCTCAAATACCTCATAATCCATTGGCTGGCAGCAGGGAGTGGTGGTGGTAGATGGACTTATAAATTAGATAGAGCACAGATTTAAAACAGTATAGTAGTTCTCATATTTTTTTTAAAAAATAAAGCTTGAAATGAAGCAAAGGGATGTACTATAACTCACGTTTTCTGCTTTAACCTTCCACCATCAGTATCTGTTGGATGAGACTGTAGTTTATCTTCATCATCTGACTGTGCGGCATCATTACTACGAGGGGAAGAAGTAATTTTAAAAGAAGCCATTTCCCTAACATGTCTCAAAAATCTATATATACTTACTGTAGAATTAGCTAATCAGAGTAAAAATAAACTTTGTTAAAATGCTTTATATAAACTTAATTTAAATGATGACTGTGTGAATTTAAAGACTTGAAAGATCAAAGAAGAATCTTTAAGCAAGGTGCAATGTACAAAATGCAAATTAATGCAATTTAGGAACTTAAGAAAAACCCATGGCAAATAAGGCTTTCTGCTGGGCAAAACATGCTACCCAGAAATGACAAATTAACTTGTAAATATCTTCCTCCTCACTCACCAGGCACATCATGTATTGTACTTTAAAAGGCTTTGCTTTCACTGAAATGATTCTTTAGATCAGTAGTGGGGAACCTTTTATCTGTGCAGGGCCATTTGGATATTTATGACATTATTAGCAGGCCATATAAAATTATCCATTTAAAAATTAGCCTGCTATATATGGTCAAACATTTAATTAACTTACCCTTAATGCCTTTGCAGGCCAGATCAAATGATTCTGCAGGCCTTATATGGCCAGTAGGCCGTAAGTTCCCAACCCCCACCTTAGATTTACATATAACCCACAGTAAAGTCAATCACCATACTCTAAAGCCATTTTCTGACCCTCTAAAATCCTATCTAATAATAGACAAACAGGGTAATTGACCATACCTTCGCTATGCCTCCCATTGGTTAATCAGCACAATATGCAAATTAATCGCCAACAAAGATGGCAGTTAATTTGCATATGTAGGCTCCAAGCGGCTGAGTGAAGACTGAAGGTGAGCCAGAACCGCGAAGACAGAAGGCAGCTCTGGCTGGAGCTAAGGCCTGGGTCCCGGGAGCCGGAGGAAAACCGGTGCCGGCAGCCAGGAGAAGGGAAGGCCTATTGCACGAATCTCTTCGTGCAACAGGCCTCTAGTTTTATATATAAAATCTCTGATCCTTAAGCAAGGTTTCAGAAGAACAGCATGACTGTTTAGCTTCAATATGTTTTAATACTATCTTTAGTATAATATAAATAATTTTAAAAGAAGAGAAATCAAATATTACGGAATTGAAGATATATAATATTTTCTCCTAATAATTGTGCAGTCCTAAGAGAGAACAAAATTTAAGAATATATACATTAACTATTTAATTCCAAATTTAAAAAAGGCTGGCCCTAACCGGTTTGGCTCAGTGGATAGAGCGTCAGCCTGTGGATTCAAGGGTCCCAGGTTCGATTCAGGTCAAGGGCATGTACCTTGGTTGCGGGCACATCCCCAGTAGGGGGTGTGCAAGAGGCAGCTGATCAATGTTTCTCTCTCATCGATGTTTCTAACTCTCTATCCCTCTCCCTTCCTCTCTGTAAAAAATCAATAAAATATATATTTAAAAAAATAATAAAAAAATTAAAAAAGGCTGAATGAAACCAAATTAGGGACTATCATAGTTCATAAACAGAGAAATCTTCACCACTCTGAATGAAATACTACAAATAATAAATAACTTTAGATCATACCTTACATATTCCTTAGTCCTTCTCATGATGTGTAGAGTGAGAGGATTAATACCTGTTGGCAGTTTCTCTTCTGCAAGACTCAAAGGTATTTCTTCTCCAGTATCCAGGTTCTTAATCATTACACTGGCTAAAATTTCCTGAGGTAAAATATAACACCAAGAGAACTTATAATTTATGTATCTTTTTGAGTCTACAAAGTCCTCAAAATTTTAAGCTAAGAACTTTCTAAATACATTCAGTACTGTGTACAATAATTTTTAACATTTTTAGTGAGATACAATTCATACATTGTAAAATTCACTTATTTAAACCATACTTAATTATTAAATGATTTTGAGTATATTCAAAGAGTTGTGCAACCATTACCATTATCTAAGTTCAGAACATTTCTACTACCCCCAAAAGAAATCCTGCCGGGAGCCGGTCCATGCTTGCTGTTTCAAGGGACCTGGCATATATGGCATACTGTTCTTAATATGTTTGCTCACCTTCTTGGCACTATGTGTTTTAACCAAGGTCTCTGAGAAAGGTTGTTTCCCCAGGTAGGGATTTTCCCCTGAAGTTAGGGAGGGAATAAAACCTCTTAACTAAGTGCCAGGTGGGTAATTAATCACTTTAACTATGAACAATCATGCTTAAACTACATAATCTTTACTCCCTGGAATGGAGATAAGAAATGCCCTAACCTTTGTAATAGAGATTGATAGGATTGAATCAACTGGTATAAATACAGATGTAATAAGACAGCAAGAGACAGAACTAAGAAGACAGAACCAAAGAAGACAGAACCTACACACAGAACTAAGAAGACAGAACCGAAGAAGACAGAACCTACACACAGAACTAAGAAGACAGAACCTACACAGAACCTAGAGACAGAAGAACTTAACTGGAGAGAACATGGCAAAAGATCCTGGACAGAAACTGGCAACAGGACCTAGAGACAGAACCTAGCGAGAGAACATGGCAAAAGATCCTGGACTGAACCTGACTACAGAAATTGGCAAGAGAACCTGACTAGAACCTGGTGACTGAACCTGGCTGGAGAACCTGGACAGAACCTGGCTGGAGAACCTAGCAAGAGAACATGGACACAGAACCTGGCTGGAGATCCTAACCAGAACTTCGCTGGAGATCCAGACCAGAACTTGGCTGGAGATCCTGGCTGGAGATCCTGGCTAGGCTGCTGATCAACTGAACACTGTCTCTGTGTCCTTCCTTCTTCGCCGACTCCGTCTACGCCTTTGGGAACCCCTGGACCTGCTGGGGTTGGACCCCGGCAAAATCCCATATCCATTTGCTGTCATATCTTATTCCCCCTCTCTTTCCAATCCCTGGCAATCACTAATCTACTTTTTGTGTCTATGGATTTGCTTATGCTGGACATTTCAAATAAATTTAATCATACAGTATGTGGTCTTTTGTGACTGGCTTCTTTCACCTTAGCACTATGGTTTCAAGGTTCATCCATGCTATAACCATGTATCAGAACGTAATTCCTTTTAACTGCTGAAAAATAGTCCATGTGAATAGATATATCACATTTTATTTACCCATTCATCAGTGATGGGCGTTTATGAACTTTGGCTATTATGAACACTTGTGCATATTTTTTACGCAGACATGTGTTTTCATTTCTCTTTGGTGTATATATAGGAGTAAAATTTCTACATCGTGGTAACTTGATGTTTAATTTTTTGAAAAACTGCCAAACTATTTTCCAAAGTACAATAATTTTTTTAAAATGTTGTTTACAAGAAACAAAAAACTAAGATTTTGCTTTAAAACTTCATTCTGAATAAATTGGCCAATAGATATATAGTAAATTTTAGTGGTAAAAAGTATTGTGACTATCTACACTACATCATCTAACAAGCATGAAAACATATACATATCTATAATGTCAAGTTTTTTTAAGCCCACTTTCTATAAAATATAGGCCTTGCTTTCAATATATTTATTCCACCATAGATTGTATGAAAGGGCAAGTTTAAGTCAGAGTTGTAAACTTCAACATATTAAAAAAAACAAAACCCAAGGTGATCTTCATTTTCATTTTTTTCTTCTACATTATGACTTTTGGCCTAATAACAATAAATAAAAACTTTTAATCATAGTAAAATATAAATAATATACAATTTATCATTTAAACAATTTTTAATTGTATAGTTCAGGGGCATTAAGTATGTTCACATTGTGGTGCAACTATCATCACCATCCATCTCCAGAACTTTTTCACCTTCCCATTATGGTTTTTATATTTTATGTTTTTAAGAACAAAAAAAATATATAATTATACCTCATCAGTAAGCTCTCTCCCAGAGTTGGATCTAGGTCTCTGAGGGCCCATCACTTCACCTGCTATTGTCTGCCCATCAGGTGCTTTTCCATTTTCCTGAAATTATAATTTCATAAACAGAAAGTAGACTGAACCAATTTTTATAAATATTCAATTACTCATTACCACACACATTTCTAAAAAAATTCCGTAATTCAGATAATGGAGCCTACTGAAAACTTAAATGGAATACTCCATTTCAGCCCTTTATTACTCCCAGAATTCTGAAAAACATTAGGTACCCAAACTATTGCTGTCCATGCAATAATGTGTTAGTCTTGAAGCAAAGAAATGTTCTATTTGAACCTGACCCCAAAGTAGTTCTCTACTAGTAGAATGCTAGCACAAAGATTGCCATTGTTCAGGGCTAGATTTATAGATATCTTAATGCTTTATGTAAAGAGCCAGTTAATAAATATTTTAGGATTTTTTGCTTCACACATAGTACCTGTCACATATTCTTTTTCATAAACATCCTTGAAAAAGTAAAGACCATTCTTAACTTGGGGACCCTACAAAACAGGGCACTGCCAATCAATGCTCTAAGGCTATGAAAGGCTATATATTGTCTTATCTCCCAGTTTGCTAAACTTCCCCAATCACAGCTACCACATAAGTAAGCCTTGAGTGCCAGAATTTGGCTGTGGTAAAATTCATGTTATCAAGTCCCTTCCATTGCTTCATGTTACCAAGTCCTTTCCATTGCTTCCTATGTATGTATGTATATGTGTGTGTGTATATATATATTGTATGAAGTTTGTTTTCATGATTAGGAAAAAGAAATTATAAAAAATAAAAGTCCTCAATTTTATCCACTACAGTTCAGGTAAATGAAGATTGTAGTTGGTGTTTATTAATATCAATAATATTACAAATAGCAGCATGTGTCATTTTTTGAATGCCTGCTACATGGCCAGGTACTTGGTATACTTTATTCATGTCATCCTTGCAAGAAACCTTCAAGGAAGGTTTCCCTTCATTTTATCAATGGGGCATCTGAGACTCAGATGTTAAATAGCTTCCTGGAGTTACCCAACTACTTAGTAGCAGAGCTGGACAAGGGATGTAAGGAGTCCAGGTTTTGGGATAAGAAAATATCTGGCCTGGAGAAGAAAGTTTGATAATCCACAAGCCAGCAAGTTGAGGAAATCTGACAAAGCCTATATAAAATATAACATGAATTTACCAACCTGGGCAGTAACTATTTTATCTCCACTGGTAGCACTTGCCAAATCAAGAGAAGGCTGAGAATCCTTGACTGTACTCTCTGAAGCCATGCTCGTAGTTAGCATATGAGATGTAATATTGTCTTTGGGAACTGCAACAACAACAACAAAAATAATAATAAATACTTATATAGGACTTTATACATTAATTGAAAAGTGTTTTAACCTTTATTTGTCTGATTCTTATAACAATCCTGTGACAAAAGTGATTTTATTACTCTCATTTTATATATGGGGAAACTAGGATTCAAACAAGTTATTTAAATTCCTCAAGGCTATACAACTTATACATTAAGAGATCCAGTGCTCAATAAATTTAACTTAGAGATTAAAAAGTAAAAGAAAAAAAAAGGAGTGATCTAGGACTTGAATTCAAATCTTAACTCTCAAATACCATATTCTTTTCACCATATCACACTGGCTCTCCAATGATAACAGATTTGAAAGTTTGAAGTCTGCTGAAATGTTCAATTATAATAATGTAACTAATCACCAATATAAATGTTTTCACTTTTTAGTACTAAAATAATTTTTACAACTTGGTCATCCATGTAGTTTACATAACATAAACTAAAACAAAATAACAAATTTAAACAAGTTCAACTCAAAAATATCCTCACAAAAGTACTTATCTCTCAATAATACTTGCCATCCAGATCGGGTGTTTTAAGAGCCTCAAACTCCAATTCACTTTTCTTTTTTCTTGGTGGTGGAGCAGGTCGAGATGGAGGTGGTGGTCTAGGAGGTGGGAAATTAGTTGGAGGGGGTGGGCGTGCTGGGACAGGCTTTTTTGTACTAGCCACTATGTCAGGTTCTGGGGTAAGCTGTCTTGGGGGTTTGGCAGGAGCCAATTCTTCCACAGTAGCAAAATCTTTAGCAGATGAGGAGCTTGAGGATGCAGATTCTAGAACATCACTTGCTTTGATTTCCACTGCTTCCTTGTTCAATACTTCTGTTTCAGTTTCAATCACATTAAGCTGCTTAGTTGAACTTATTTCAGTTAACTTAGTGGTTTCATCTACTGGCTTCTCACAGGTGTCATTGGAAGAAAAACATTTTTTGGGTTCTAATTCAGTTTCTTCAGATGTATTCTGACTCTCTGCCCTTTTGGGATATTCCTGTAGAACTTGACCTGTGGCTAAAAGTCCAGGTATATTGTTAAGATCTGTTCCAGCCACGAGAGGACTGGCAGTATCCTGATCAGACTGTCCTTTTCCTTTGGAAGCCAAAGAGTCATCGTCAAGCTGAAGTACTTTCTGAGTCTCCTCAATAATACTTTCAATAATCTGATGAAAGGTTAAAAAGCAATTTTTAAAAATGAAGCCATTTACAAGAACACAGTAACAGCTACTCATTTATATAGTACTTACTATGTGTCAGACAATGCTTACTATCATCATATACAAATGAGGGAGCTAAGGTAGAGAAGAACCAAATGTTTTGTTCTAGGTCACAAAGCTTGTAAGTGATGAAGCTGGCACAAAACTAGGGAATTTGGTTCAAGAATCTGCACTCTTAACCATTATAATAGGGAATCTGGGCTAGTACATGTAATCACAAAAGCTAAATCAACATTGTATAATAAAGTTCAAACATAAATTTACATTTAGACTCTTCATGTCATAGTTCATTTACATATTTATTCCAAGTTAGTTGTAGTAACAGCCTGCTTATTTGAGCCTAGTTAACAAAATCAAGAGAAGCAAAACCACCTAGTACAAGAATTCAAATTGTTTAGCTCAAGCCTATGACAGGAAAAGCCAGTAGATACAAGGATATTAATGTTCTTAAACAGAATACACCTAATACCCTAATATTTAGAGGGATGCCAGGACCATGAAATAAATTCAAACAGCCTTGGCTGATATGGTTCAGTTGGTTTAGCATCATCCCATGCATTGAGAGGTCACTGGTTCGATTCCCAGTCAGGCCACATACCAGGTCAGGGTGCATACAGGAGGCAACCAATTGATATTTCTCCCTCACATTGATGTCTCACTCTCTCCCTCACTCTCTCTCTCCCTCTCCCTCCCTCCCTCTCTCTAAAATCAATAAAAATATTTTAAAAAAGAGTTCAAACAGCCAACTCACTATGCCTTTCCCCCACTTTGTTTCTTTTTTAAAAAACATATTTTTATTGATTTCAGAGAGGAAGGGAGAAAAACATCAGTGATGAGAGAAAATCATTGATCAGCTGCCTACTGCATACCCCTACTGGGGATTGAGCCCTGGCATGTGCCCTGACCAGGAATCGAACCATGACCTCCTGGTTCACAGGTCGACTTTCAACCACTGAGCCACACCAGCTGGGCATCCCCCTTTATTTCTTTTCTATAGCTAAAAAGTACAGATAGTCTTTCTATGCATTCTACTAACATTTGGAAGAAAATATATTTTCTACCCAGTCCTGTAATTATTGACATTAAATCTCCCAGCCCACTTATCTATCCACCATGCCCAATCATGGATGGCTTTGGCTTTCTCAATTCCTCGGCTCCAGAAAGCTAACAGAACATGGAACATGCTAACCTGAACTGTATGCTATTGCTATTGAACAATATTCCTGGTTTCTCAGCATCTCCCTTTTTTTCTCAACCTTCAAATGTTTAATACTAGACATCAATCACTTTTACCAGAGAACTATTAACTAGAGTCCACCTAATTTGACAATTAGGTGGTTACTGAGCACTGAGTGACTCAATCTTAACAGAATCTGGATTCCTGTGGGTTTAAGAATGAATAAGAAGTGAAGACATAGAGACAGGCCTGCATAGGCTACAGTTTCAAAAACTTGGCTATAAATGGAAGAGGATGCAAGAAAGTGATCCAGCATTTTTATAAACTGACGGGAAGGATCCAAGGGAAAGAATGGAAACAAAGTTCTGGAGAAGAAAAGAAAGAAGGTTTACTGTGCATTAGATCTAGCACACACATTCTCTATTTAATCATCAAATAAGCTTTGTGAGGCATAGTATCTCCTTTCTACAAAAGCAGGTATCTGAGGTAAAGGCATTAAGGCCCTGGGCGGTTTGGCTCAGTAGATAGAGCATCAGCCTGCGGACTGAAAAGTCCCAGGTTCGATTCCAGTCAAGGGCATGTACCTTGGTTGCGGGCACATCCCCAGTAGGAGGTGTGCAGGAGGCAGCTGATTGATGTTCCTAACTCTCTATTCTCCCTTCCTCTATGTAAAAAATCAATAAAATATATTTTTTAAAAAAAGAATTTTGCTCAAGGTTCTACAGCTAGTAAGCTACAAAGTCAAAACTGAAATCCAGGTTTTTCACAAAAAATCCACGATTCTTTATATCATACTACTATGGACAGGAAAATAAACTAAATTCTCAACAATGACATGAAAAAGAGGTTAAAGATGAAAACAAGCTGACAGGTAAGGGAAGTATGGGATGATGAAAAGGAGTGAATTCAGGTTTCTTAGTCTCTAAAGCAGGGGTCCTCAAACTTTTTAAACAGGGGGCCAGTTCACTGTCCCTCAGACCGTTGGAGGGCTGGACTATAGTTTTAAAAAAAAACTATGAACAAATTCCTATGCACACTGCACATATCTTATTTTGAAGTAAAAAAACAAAACAGGAACAAATACAATATTTGTATTTGCATGTGGCCCGCAGGCTGTAGTTTGAGGACCCCTGCTCTAAAGTCTACATGCAGTAAGAAACAAGGTCATCTGCTGAAAGTGAGTGGGATATTACTGGGCACAGTGAGAATGAGGTGAATGTAAATATTTGAAATAATCACTGTGCATAATGGAAAGACCCATGCTATTAGAGGGGTCCAAATGAGGTTGAAAATCATAAGACATTCCTAATCTGTTATCTGAGAACAATCTCTCCCTTCTCTGAACTCCCATCATTCTGTTTATTAGAGTATGAGCTATAATATAAATACAAGGTAGTATATGGGCTAGCTCTGTACAAATACTTACTCCACACTGGATAATTAGTTTTTGGGAAGCAAGGCCCATGCTTTCTAACTCTCCATATGCCCCCATAATACCATTTTATAGTGTCAACCTTGTATTTTTCCTCTGTGTTTTAGAAGGTAGCAAACAGGAAAAGAGTAAGAGAATGGTGAGAATCAAAACTAAGATGGAGATCATGATGCTAAAGCAACTGCTTCTTCACATTACCTCTCTGCTTCAAAGAACTAATTGCTTTCCCAGTAATTATAAAATAAAACCCAGATGTTTCAGTATGACATAAGGCATTCCCATAATCTGGCCTTACCTGTGGTCTCCAGACTTGTCCTCAAACATTTTGCACATTCATCATCTCTGTGCCTTTCTTTGGTTATTCCTTTCCTCTCCTATCTCTGCCTGCCCAAATCTTACCCATTCATCAACATATTTGCCAGTGTTATCTCCGATAAGGGTTTAATCTCCAACATTTACAGGGAACTCATACAGCTTAACAAAAGGAAGATAAACAACCCAATTAAAAAATGGGCAATGGACCTAAATAGATACTTTTCAAAAGAGGACATAAGGAAGGCCAAGAGACATATGAAAACATGCTCAAAGTCACTAATCAACCCGAGAGATACAAATCAAAACGACAATGAAACAGCCTAAGTGCCCATCAGCAGATGAGTGGATTAAAAAACTGTGGTACATCTATACAATGGAATAATGCTGCGGTAAAAAAGAAGGAATTCTCACCATTTGCAACAGCATGGATGGAACTGGAGAGCATTATACTAAGTAAAATAAGCCAGTCGGAGAAAGATAAATATCACATGATCTCACTCATTTATGGAATATAATAAACAACATAAACTGATGAACAAAAACAGATCCAGATCCAGAGAAGCATAGATCAGATGCTCAAAACTTAGAGGGAAGGTAGGGGAGGATGAGGGTAAGGGGGAGAGATCAACCAAAGGACTTATATGCAAGCATATAGGCCTAACCAATGGACACAGACAACAGGGGGGTGAGGGCATGAGTGGGGAGGATGGGGGGTAATGTGGGGATAAAGACACATATATAATAACTTAATAAAAAATTTAAAAAAAGAAACAAGCCCTAACCGGTTTGGGTCAGTGGATAGAGCGTCAGCCTTCAGACTCAAGGGTCCCAGGTTCGATTCCAGTCAAGGGCATGTACCTTGGTTGCAGGCACATCCCCAGTGGGGGGTGTGCGGAGGGCAGCTGATCAGTGTTTCTCTCTCATCGATGTTTCTAACTCTCTATACCTCTCCCTTCCTCTCTGTAAAAAATCAATAAAATTTTTTTTTTTTTTTAAAAAGAAAGAAACAAAAAAAACCCGAAAATGAGGTACCATCTCACACCTGTCAGAATGACTATCATCAACAAATCAACAAATGACAAGTGCTGGAGGGGATGTGGACAAAAAGGAACCCTCATGCACTGATGGTGGGAATGCAGACTGGTGCAGCTACTGTGGAGAACAGTATGGAGTTTCCTCAAAAAACTAAAAATGGAGCTCCCATTTGACCCAGTGATTTTACTTCTAGGAATACATCCCAAGACACTAGAAACACCAATCAGAAAGGATATATGCACCCCTATGTTCATAGCAGCACAATTTACAATAGCTTAAGATTTGGAAGCAGCCTAAGTGCCCATCAGCAGATGAGTGGATTAAAAAACTGTGGTATATCTACACAATGGAATACAATGCTGCTGTAAAAAGGAAGGGACTCTTACCATTTGCAATAGGATGGAGCTGGAGAGCATTATGCTAAGTGAAATAAGTCAGTCAGAGAAAGATAAATATCACATGATCTCACTCATTTGTGGAATATAATGAACAACATAAACTGATGAACAAAACCAGATCCACACACAGAACCTACACAGAACCTAGAGACAGAAGAACTTCGCTGGAGAGAACATGGCAAAAGATCCTGGACAGAAACTGGCCACAGAACCTAGAGACAGAACCTAGCGAGAGAACCTGGCTGAAGAACCTAGAGACAGAACCTGGCTACAGAACCTGGATAGAACATGGCAAGAGAACCTGACTAGAACCTGGTGACTGAACCTGGCTGGAGAACCTGGACAGAACCTGGCTGGAGAACCTAGCGAGAGAACCTGGCTACAGAACCTGGCTGGAGAACCTACAGAACCTGGCAATAGAACCAGGCAAGAGAACCCAACCATGCTGATCAACTGAACGCTGCCTCTGTGTCGTTCCTTCTTAGCCGACTCCGTCCACACCTTTGGGGACCCCTGTACCTGCTGGGGTTGGACCCCAGCAAGGGCGATATCTTTCTTTCTTTTTAAAATTTAATTTAATTTTTTCCATCACCATTTATGATGATATCTTTCATATCATGAGTGTTCCATGAAAATATGATGATATTAGTGATTCAAGGAAGTTCTGTTTGATGAGTTTTTCTGTCTCTATATTTAGGTCAAAATAAATAATAATTGACATTTTCTAGAGATAAAAAACAAACAAACAAACAAAAAAAACAGATCCAGAGACAGAGAAGCATCGATCAGACCGTCAAACCTCAGAGGGAAGGTAGGGGAGGGAGGGGTAAGGGGGAGAGATCAACCGAAGGACTTGTATGCATGCATATAAGCATAACACATGGACACAGTCACCAGGGGGGTGAGGGCATTAGCGGGGTGGAGGGGTGGGGGAGCAAAGGGGGGCATAAGGACACATATGTAATACCTTAATCAATAAAGAAAAAAAGAACCCAGCTCAGATGCTACTTCCTCCCTGAAGTCTTCCTCATTCCTATCCCCAAGCAGTCTCCTTTTGTGTTCTTATAATAGTTTCTAAGTTTACTTGAACACTTATTATATTACATTCAGTTTTGTGTTTATTCAGTTTCCTCTACTAAAATGTAAGCTACTGAGAGCATGGATTGTGTTCTGGTCTAGGGCAGTGACGGCGAACCTATGACACGCGTGTCAGAGTTGACACGCGAACTCATTTTTTTGGTTGATTTTTCTTTGTTAAATGGCATTTAAATATATAAAATAAATATCAAAAATATAAGTCTTTGTTTTACTATGGTTACAAATATCAAAAAATTTCTATATGTGACACGGCACCAGAGTTAAGTTAGGGTTTTTCAAAATGTTGACACGCTGAGCTCAAAAGGTTCGCCATCACTGATCTAGGGTATATCCCACAGCCTTTATTATTAATGTATGATACTTAATTCAACTGAAAAAGCTGGAACTTAAAAAGTGATACCTAGTCTTAAGCCTCACTCTCTGTCCCATGGTGTTACTCACTTTTTCAGCTTCTATAATCTACTTAAAAAATCACTATTTTTCTTATACTAACTATAGTTACCCATCTGTAATTTACCCTAAGAAAAAAATTCTCTTTTAAAGGTGATCTCCTGGTTCGTGGGTCAACACCCAACCACTGTGCCACACTGGCCAGGCAAGAAAAAAATTATTAAAAGGGGGAAAGAAAAGCTCTAGTGGAAAAAGTAGAAACATTTCAAGCTTTCAACAATAAAAACAGGCTAGACACATGTGAAAGACATTGGCCTGATGGAAACAGATAATATGTCAAATGAAAACTGAGTATTGAAATATGATGAAAATCTAAAAAATGGTGAAAGACGAAGGTAGAACACAAAATTCTATCTATACTACAATTAGGAAAAAGAATATGCAAATAGGTGAGAACCAGAAGGAAATGCTGAAAATCAAGATTGCTGTTTGTTACAGTGAATAATTTCAGATTTTTAAAAAAAGGTACCACTTGAGGATATGTTATTATTGATTTGAGAGAGAGGGAGGAATGGAGAGAAACAACAACGTGAGAGAGAAACATTGATAGGTTGCCTCCTGTATGTACCCCAGTTGGGAAGCAAACTCACAATCTAGGTACATGCCCAAATTAAACCGCAAACTTTTGGTGTATAGGACGATGCTCCAACCACTGAACCACCTGGCCAGGGGGGTGGCACCATTCATTTTTTATGTTGATACATAGTACCACAATTTCTCCCCAAAAGAAAAAAAGTCCTTTTAAAAGAAATAGTATGATCAATATTTAAATATGCAGTCCATTAGATTTTTAAATTCCATAAAGGTAGAACAATGGATCTCCATTGGGGGTGAGTTTGCTTGACACCCTCCCTAGACATTTGGTGATGTCCGGAGATATTTTTGGTTGTCATGATGGGGTGGGGGAATCTATTGGTATATAATGGTGGGAGCCAGGGAGGCTGCTAAATATCCTACAATGCACAGAACAGTCTCCCCTTCCTTCTACAAAAGAATCAGCCAGCCCCAAATGTCAATAATGTCATTGCTGAAAAACTATAGGGTAGAGAATGTGTCATCTTATTGGTTTCTGGAAACCTACTGGCTAGAACAGTGCCTAGGGTGCAGAAAACACTCAACATATATGAATGAACACACACCATCCTTTCTCCTTGGACTTTATTCTGATACTGTGAACTACCCCACTGTCAAGTTTTTTATTTTGTGCTCAGTCTCATCTAATAAACCAAATTCTGAAGCTTCATAGGATCAATTCTTTATAATGTATCAAAGGCACTATGAGTAATGACTTCTTATAACTTCCAACTTCTAAAGACATCAAAATTTGCTACACTTAGTTTTTAATACCTTTAACACTTGGTAGTTACCCGAAGAGTAGTTATAACTCATTTTAATAAAAATACAAGCATAAAAATAAAGACACATTATAAAATATTTTTCTAAGTACTGTTTCAAAACAGAGGGGAAGGAGGCTGGGGGGAGGCTGAAGAAGGTAAAGGGAGTCAAATATATGGTGATTGAAGGAGGCTAAACTTTGGGTGATGAACACAGTGTATTATAGAATTATACACTTGAAATTTACATATCTTATTAACCATGTCATTCCAATAAATTTAGTAACACAAATATGGTTTCAAGAATAAATTACCAATTATGAAATGACTTCTAAAAAGCCTGATGATCTTCAAACACAAATTCAACAGATTCAAGGAACATTTCTGAACATCCACCATGTACAGACCACTATACTATACTTAATATAGAAAATTTTCTATTTTAAATATACCATGTAAAAAAATAAAAATAAAATAGTCTGGCTGTTGTGGCTCAGTGGTTGAGCATCAACCTATGAATCAGGAGGTATGGTTAGATTCCTGGTCAGGGCACTGCTTGAGTTGTGGGCTCCATCCCCAGTAGGGGGTGTACAGGAGGCAGCAGATCAATTATTCTCATCATTGATGTTTCTATCTCTCTCTCCCTCTCCCTTTATCTCTGAAATAAAAAAAAATATTAAAAAAAATAAAATCAATAAATACACCATGTAAACAACTACTAAACTAATATTGACATAATATCTTACCACATCTTGTTTCAATTCTTGTACAGGGGACTCATTTCCAACTTTGTGTGCAGTGTTCTCTGTTTCCTATTTTAAAACAAGAGAAACAGAGACCAAATGATAACATCCTTTCTTTAAAACTCTATTTAAAATGGGTACAAATTAGAAAATACAGCATTAATAAATCAAACACCCAGCCCAGCTGGTGTGGCTCAGTGGATGATCATCGACCTATGAATCAGGAGATCAGGGTTCAATTCCTGGTCAGGGCACATGCCTGGGTTATGGACTTGATTCCCCAGTAGGAGGCTTGCAGGAGGCAGCCAATCACTGATGTTTCTATCTCTTTTTCCTTCTCCCTCTCCCTTCTTCTCTAAAATCAATAAAAGTATATTTAAAAAACAAATAAATAAAAGGCCCATAAAGGGCTCAAATGTTTGTATACTGATAGATGCCCAGAGGTTTTATGCCAACCGGGACAATATGGTTTGTATAAGAAGGTTATCAATCAGCAATTTTTAATTTTTCAACTGCAATAGAACATTTTCCTTTAAAAGTGCCTTTTTAACCTTAATAAACTGTGCAGCAGGGATGGGAAACGTCCGGCCTGCATACCATATAAGGCTGGCAAAATCATTTGGTCTGGCCCTGCCAAGCCATTGGGGGTGAGTTAATTAAATGTCTGACCAAATACAGTAGGCTAACTTTTAAGTTGATAATTTTGTATGGCCTGCAAATGATGTTATAAACATCCAAATGGCCCTTGGAAGAAAATAGGTTTCCCATCCCTGCTATACAGGAAGATAAGAACTACTAAGTACCTTCATAGCCTAAAAAGATTAAGGATTTAAGCAAAAATAACAAAGTATTGCTGCATAAATATGCATAAATATAAAAGTATATAATGCAGAAAACCACATTCAGACAATTGTTTTCTTAAAAACTCTATATTCTTTAGAAAAAAAGGAAGCAAAACTTAACCAGAAATTAAATGAAGTCCTAGAACAATAGGTGAACAAAATTAAACCCACCAAAAATACATATATATCTACGTATACATTCATATACACATACGTACATATATATATATATTTGGGAGGTTAGAGAAGGTAGAAATAGATACTGCATTTTTCTAGGAAAAATTTTGGGTGAAATAAGATAATCATGCATTTGTAAAACATAACACCATATTTTTCTCCATCTTAAGTTATCTTTATATTTATAGAATACAGCAATTTGAACACTACTACTAATACTGAGAGGAAAAAAAAAACCTCTTCATAATTCTTGGTGCACACCACAGACTTGTTAAAGAAGGCATTTTTTTTGTCAGATAAGTGACTTAAGACACACAAGAATGTATGTAAGTATTAAGGTAGCACTTCTACAAAGTATCCAGATGCTATCACAATAGGCTCCATGATATAGTTACTCCAGAGATTATTAGATTCTACTAATTTTAAGTGTTAGATAAAATTCAAAGTCTACCACAGCCCAAGAGGGCCTAACATGACATTGCCCCTGCCTTCATCTTTGACATCTTCTACATTTTCACCCTCCCTCTCCCACCAATACCCCACGATTACACTTGATGGCTCTCTACCGTCCTTAGAGTCATAGCTCCAGTGTTATTACATCAGAACAGCCTTCCCTTACTACCCTAAAATAGCCTCACCCCCTCAACTTTCAATCACATTATCCTATTTTCTTTTTCTTCTTTGAACTATCATAATCTGAAACTACCTTGTTTACTTATTTTTTTCTCTTCCCTACCCCACTAGAATGTCAGCTCCTTGTTTGTTCTGTCTACCACTACTTAACCAGCACCCTAAAACAATGCCTGGCAAAAGTAATCACTTGTTGAATGAATGTTGAATAATGCATGTTCTGACTTTTCTTCAATTAATACACATATCTTAAGTTTATATATCCTTTAATCAAATACTGACATTAAACTTATTACAAACACCTATAATCAAAAGCAATTAAAGGTGGGGGAAGAGTTAACTGGAAAAAGGTGGTCAAAAGGTACAAACTTCTAGTTAGAACAGTGATTCTCAACCTTGGCTGCATATTAGAATCACCTGGGAATCTTTTTAAAATTCTGATTTCTGGGCCTCATCCTCCGGAAATTCTGTTTCTTTGTTATGAGGTGGGGCCACAACATTAGTAACAAAGAAACAGAATGTCCGGAGATGAGGCCCAGAAATCAGGATTTTAAAAAGATTCCCAGGTGATTCTAATGTGCAGCCAAGGTTGACAACCACTGAGCTAGAAGATAAATAGGTACTAGGGATGTAACGTACAACACAATGGCTATAGCTAACACTACAGTTTAATATACAGGAAAGTTGTTGAGAGTAAAGAGTTCTCATTACAAGGAAATTTTTCCCCATTTTTTCTTTCTTTTTATTGTATCCATGTGAGAAGGTAGATGTTAGCTAAACCTATTGTGATAATCATTTCCTAATATATGTAAATCAAACCATCATGCTGTACTATTTAAACTTATACAGTGATGTGTTTCAGTTATATCACAATAAAACTTGGAAAAAAGAAACAAAAGCACAGTTAATGCATGTTAGAGAAACACCTTCAACTGCATTACAAATTAAGTATAAGTATCCAATTCTCCTCCAATAACTGTTCATGAGTAAGAAAATCAGAGGCATTGTACAACCTATATCCATGGATAGTTTCCCTAAATTAACCTAAGCAAAATTACACACTAAAAACTCTTGTACCTCATTTTAATTTGTTTGAATTAATTATAAAGATCACAGATTACTATTGTTACACTGACCAAAACTGCCAAGCAGTGATTAGACTTCTGTTTTATTTGGCTTTAATAAAACTCTCCTGGACTTTGAACTTTTGAAAGCTATCAACTCCTATAAGTTAAACTGCTATTAAGTCATAAGTTTATAAGTTTAAAGGAGTGATATGGCACCTACCAGAAGATACAATCTCTAGAGAAGTAAAATAGAAAGATTTCTTAGTAAAACCTCATTTAGTATATCTACATTTAGTATAGCTATCCTATATAATAAGAGGCTAATATGCAAATAGACCAAACTACAGAATGACTGATTGCTATGATGAGCACTGACCACCAGGGTGCAGACGCTCAAGGCAGGAGCTGCCCCCTGGTGTTCAGTGCGCTCCCACAGGGGGAGCGCTGCTCAGCCAGAAGCAGGGCTCACGGCTGGCGAGCACAGTGGCAGTGGTGGCAGAGCTAAGGAACAGGGAGCCTGGCGCTGGCGAGCACAGTGGCAGTGGCGGCAGAGCTAAGGAACAGGGAGCCTGGCGCTGGCGAGCACAGTGGCAGTGGCGGCAGAGCTAAGGAACAGGGAGCCTGGCTTCTGGCTGGTGAGCTAATTGGCAGTGGTGGGAGCCTCTCCCGCCTCTGCAGCAGCACAAAGGACCCCTTGGGGGATGTCCGACTGCTGGCTTACGGGAGTGGGCCTAAGCCGGCAGTCGGACATCCCCCAAGGAGTCCCGGACTGAGGGCACAGGCCGGGCTGAGACCCCCTGCCCCCAGTACACGAATGTTGTGCAGCGGGCCTCTAGTATCTATATAGATATGCATAGATACATATATATCTAACATACACAGTGGGACCTTGACTTACGAGTGTCCCGACTAACGAGTTTTTCAAGATCCGAGCCGTCTCTCGGCCGATTTTTTGCTTTGAGTTGCGAGCTAAAATTTGGGTTACGAGCCAGCTTCAGATACCCCACCGCTAGTTGGCGCAGCGAACATCACAGTGAATACCACAACATCAGCCCAGCATCACATGTCTCACTCGTTCACAACTGATTTGACATACGAGTAATCTGAGTTACGAGCTTTGTCACGGAGAGAATTAAACTCGTAAGTCAAGGCCCCACTGTATTTCATATATAATTCTCTCCCAGTGCTAAGATCCAGGTCCTTTCCCTAGCACCTCAATCAGGCTTTGGGGATAAAGCAATGGAAGCCAAGCATATGCTTGCAGACAACTAATACCAACTTTGCTAGACTTGAGACAGTCTTCATATATTACCCCTTCTGGATTTGGACTGCCCCATTACTGAAGCACAGTACCTACTAAATCCCAGCTTCCCATCATCAAGCCATTTCTCTAACCCCTATATATCACAACCTCAGAAACACACTTCCTTTAAAAAGTGTGGTAGATCATTCAATTGCTAGCAATTCACACCACCTCTCTTTGTGTGGGATATCAGAGCTCTGCTTGTATGCTCCTTACATTATTGAGTTATAAAACTTGAGCTTTTAAATTTTAACAAGCATATCCAATAAAAGACTAACTCAGTTTCACAAATCGTTTGTACAAAAGTGATCTACACTAAAACAAACAACAGGAAACAATTCTTAAATAGCTGTCATAGTCATCCATTCAATACTATCAACACTGTCTCTTTGTTGCTCTTATGTGTTGACATTCTAACTGCCTCTTAACAACTCTCTCTCTGCACTTAGTCTCTTTCCTCCAAATATTCTTCCACCCTTCTACCATGAATCTTTTGTTAATTCCTCAGCAAAAAACATTGGCGAGCCCTGGCTGGTGTGTTCAGTGGTTAGGGCATCTGCCCATGCACCGCAGGCTTGTGGGTTCGATTCCAAGTCAAAGGCACCTACCTGAGTTGCGGGTTCAACCCCCAGGCCCTGGTCAGGGTGGGTGTGAGAGGCAACCAATCGATGGATGTCTCTCTCCTCCCACCTCCCTTCTAATCTCTCTAAAAATCAATAGAAAAATATCCTTGGGTGAGGATTAACAACAACAAAACAAAGAAACAAAATAACAAACAAGAAAACCTTGGAGAGCACAACTGTAAGACATGTAAAAATTGATGTCTTAAATGTCTTTTGAAAGATCACATTTAAGGCTCATTAAGTCTGGCCCCAATTTTCTTTTTCAGCATTCTATAACTGAAATATTTACATGGGTCACACAGTCTTTTAATGCTCCCAGCAAATTCTGTCTTTGCACATTCATTAGTTCATACTATTGGCTAACATACAACGCTTTCTCAAATTTTCTCTATCATCTATGCAAATCTCTCTCAATTTTCAAAGCCCAGCACAAGTTTTACCTCCTTCCTAAAACTCTTCTCTGCTATTCCAGGTAACAGTGCTGTGACGGTCACTCTGTCTCTCCCTTCCTCTTCCAAACTCCATGTAGCACTTTGGGTCTATTCTATTTTACAAACATCAATACTTCATATGTCATCTCTTCACATACATGTTCTTCTGTAAGATTATAAAATAATAAAATATCGATACTATATCAAATTTTTCTTGGTTTGCTTAAGCCAGTGATGGCGAACCTTTTGAGCTCGGCGTGTCAGCATTTTGAAAAACCCTAACTTAACTCTGGTGCTGTGTCACATATAGAAATTTTTTGATATTTGCAACCATAGTAAAACACTTATATTTTTGATATTTATTTTATATATTTAAATGCCATTTAACAAAGAAAAATCAACCAAAAAAATGAGTTCGTGTGTCACCTCTCACACGCGTGTCATAGGTTCGCCATCACTGGCTTAAGCTATCAATCAATATGCCATGTATACATAATATGTACTCAATAGTCTTGAGTACATCCATGCCATAGAATACTACTTTACAGTAAAAGAGAACAAACCATTGATACATGCAACAACTTGGATAGATTTCAATCCTTTCAGCCAATCTCAAAAGGTCACACATGCCGGGCCATGTGGAGCAGTCAGTGGTTGAGCATTAACCCAGTAACCAGGAAGTTACTGGTTTGATTCCCAGTTAGGGCACATGTCTGGGTTGTAGGCTTGATCCTGGATGGGGGAGCATGCAGGAAGCAGGTGATTGATGATGTTTCTCTCAATGTTTCTCTCTCTCTCCCCACTTCCCCTCTCAAAAAAAAAAAATCAATACATAGAAATATATTTTAAAAAGTCACACACTATATGATTCCATTTACAGGACATTCTCAAATGACAAAATTATAGAGATGGAAAACAGATTAGTGGCTGCCTAGTGTCATGGATGATGTGGGGGAGGTGACAGGTGTGACTTTATAAAGGGATAGCACAGGGAGATCTTTGTGGTGATGAAGCTGATCTACATCTGAAGTATGGTGGTGGTTACACACATATACACATGTAATAAACTGACATAGAACTACATACTCACACTGTCCAATTCCTGGCTTTGATATTGAGCTCTAAATAAAATATAAGCACTGGGGAAATGGGTTAAGGATACACAGGATTTTCTCTGTACTGTCTTTGCAGTTTCCTGCGACTCTACAATTATTTCAAAATGAAAAGTAAAAAATAACAATATCCAACTTCATATTTAGCTACTAAATATGTACATTGTCTATCTAATTTTACTGAAGTTAAGGACAATCTATAATTACTGAGATAAAGTAAATTCCCAAAACCTATTTCACCTAAAAATATCTCAGAGCTAAGTGGCTTTTAAAACCTAACTATAATAATAAAAGCATAATATGCTAATTAGACTGGACAGCCTTCCAGACAAAGCTGGGGCTGTGAGGGCCTAGCCCCTTGCACAAATTTTGTGCACCGGGCCTCTAGTAAGCATAATAAAGAGCAATGATCTCTGGATATGGGGATTGAGAACATGAGTGATGGGAGGGGAGTTATATTTTCAATTATCTACTTTTGCACCAAGTAAATTTTAACCATGTCTGTATACTACTTTATTATTTTTATTAAATAGAATATAAAAGGATTTTTATAAAATATAAGGAATAAAGAATTATGATATAACCTTTCTTAAGAACTCAATTTAAGAAAAAGAACATTGTTACTATTAGTTTTCAAGTCTCTTGTATATCCTTTTTCATTTCCATTACATTTGTTGCCTCTTAGAGATGACCAATATCCTAAACTTTGTGTTTATCATTCTCCTGCTATTCTTTATAGTTTGATTATGCTTGCAATTCTAAATAATATATTATTTAATTTTGCATGCTTTTAAACTGAATATAAATGGACTCTTACTGCATATATTTTTCTGTGAATTGTTTCCACCCCACCGCCCACTTAACACTATGGTACTGAAATTCATCCATGTTATTGTATATAACTAATTCATATCCATTGCTATAGAATATTCTATATAAATATACCACAATTTATCAAAGAGACCAATATCCAATGTGTATAAAAAGAAGAAAAGAAGGTAGGGATACTGGAAGTGGAAAAAATAAAGCATGTCTGAGATTATAGATACTTATGTCTAGACATACACAACACACACAAACATATACAAACAAACACATACAGTATATATCCCATTTGATATAAAATATCAAAATCAAAGAATATCTATTTGGTGATATTCCTGTACTTAAAATGACTCTAAGTGATATGTCTTTATACCAAACTTTTTGCTTAAATATAAGGCTGGGATTGATTTTTACGTATGGTAATGATGATAATATAGGTGCCCATAAGAAGTATACAAGTGTTTTGGTTACTCCACATTTTTGCCATGCAAGTATTACTTTTGCAGTTAAAACACACACACACACATAAATACAAGTATTTTATAGTGTTTTATTCTAATAAGTATAAACCAAATAAAATTAGAACTCTAAAAAAAATTATAGTCCTTCCATATAGTACAATATATAATTAGTTATTTTACTATCTAATCACAAATACAATATTACTTAGCAAAAAATATAAACAGAAAGCAAAAGCAAGAAAATGAAGAATTACATAAAAGAGAAAAATGAATGGAAAGTGTACATTATTTGTAGAAACATAACTTTCAGAAAGCACAACTTACCTCTAATGTTGAAATTCCAACCTTTTCTGAAGACCTGTTCAGAAATAAAAGCAAGGTGGCATTGAATAGTGCAGGTGAGAAGGAAATTACTTCTCTACACAAAAAAGTCTACATTTTAAAAAACATGTATTTATTCTGTGACTGAAAAAAGTCCCTGTGCATATAGAAAAATGTAGTAAACACATAAAGAGAAGAAAATTAAACTGACCCATAATCTTACCACATAGAGATGTATTTTTTTTGTCTTCCCAGATATATACAGGGCGGGGGCAAATGTAGGTTTACAGTTGTTCATATGCAAATTTCATGCATCGGGCCTCTAGTATGACAATAATAAAAGCATAATATGCTAATTAGACCAGAGAGCCAAACGATCTTCCGGATGTCCTTCTAGATGTCGCCGCGGCAGCGGGGGCCAAGGCAGAGGCAGTTAGGAGCGATCAGGCAGGCGAGCAGTTAGGAGTGATCAGGCAGGCAAATTGGTTAGGGGCGATCAGGCAAGCAGGTAGAGTGGTTAGGGGTGATGAGGCAGGCACCCAAGCAGTTAGGGGTGATCAAGCAGGCAGAGTGGTTATGGGCGATGAGGCAGGCAGGTGAGCAGTTAGGGGCATCAGGCAGGCAGGCAGAGTGGTTAGGGGCAATCAGGCAGCCAGACAGAGGCAGTTAGGGGTGATTAGGCAGGCAGGCGAGAAGTTAGGGGCAATCAGGCAGGCAGGCAGAGGGGTTAGGGGTGGTCAGGTAGGCAGGTAGCATGGTTAGGGGCAATCAGGTAGGCAGGCAGGTGAGTGGTTAGGAGCCAGCAGTCCCAGATTGTGAGAGGAATGTCCGACTGCCGGGGGATCGGGCCTAAACCGGCAGTTGGACATCCCCAGAAGGGTCCTGGATTGCGAGAGGGTGCAGGCTGGGCTGAGGGACTCCCCCTGCTCCGTGCACGAATTTTGTGCACTGGGCCTCTAGTAATTAATAAATACTAATGCAAGAATAAACTCTGTTTCATGTACGCACAATTGTAAACCTACTTTCGCTCCACAATATATCTCTGATAATAAAAGAGTACTATGCTAATTAGACCAGACGTCATTCTGGATGTCCTTCTGGACTAAGTTGGGGCTGGAGGGAAGTCCGGGTCCCGGGTGCCAGAGGGAAGCCGGTGCCAGCAGCCGGGGGAAGGAAGGCCTACTCTTGCACAAATTTCATGCATCGGGCCTCTAGTATGACAATAATAAGCATTTCTGTAAACAAAATTTTGTACTCTTCCATGATAAATTTCTTTAAGATAAATTACACTTGAGGTAGAACTGCAGGCCAAAGGTTCAGCATTTTGAGACTTTCAGATTACCCTCTGAACAGTTGTACCAATTTACACTCCTACGTTTCTGAGTGCATGTTTCTTAGTATCCCTGCTAAAAATGAGTTTTTTAAAATTTCACAAATTTGATAGACAAAAGTATATCTCATTGTTGTCTTGATTTGTAGTGTGTATGAAGTTTTTTACACATTAGACCTGTACAGTGCTTCTGAAGAGAGTAGACCAGTTTTGTTCCCAGCTCATTTTACTACTGTATCAATACTCTATTCTTAAACAGACTATTCCAGGAATAAAAATTTTTAAAAGTAAATTTTCACACACCCCTGCCACATTTTTCTTCAAAGAGAAACAGTTTGATATCCACTACAAAGCATACCCTTATAGCTATTTAGTATATTTTAGGGTTATGCAATAAGGAACACTTTTAAATGAGTAATATTACTATGCCATTCCTAATTTTCTTTTGTTAAAATGCAATGATCACAAATGATACAACTTTATGTTGAATGGCACCTTCAAGATCATCTAACCATACAGCTTCTGCTTACAGTTAAAAACTGAGGTGCTAAGAGATTGACTAGCCCCAAAGTCACATATTTAGGGGCAGAACAAAGAAAAGCATTGAGTCCTACTACCATGCTCTTCACATGCCACACTGAGTAATCCATGTTTAGCAGAGGAATCCTTGACCTTTAATCAAAACATAAGTGTGATAAAAATTACTTTTGCCATTTAACAGAAAATCAACCCCTATATTCAACGAACATTTATGGAATACCTACTGTGTACCATGGACTGGAGATATGAAAGTGAATAAGACACAATTCTAGTTTAGGGGGGTTTAAGGCTTGTTTTACAAGGGTAGCTGTATAAAATGGTGCCTGCCCATTTAATTGCTGTGCCTGGACAATATAATTTAATATCAACAAAGGACAATTTCCAAAAATGATAATTATTATATCCCTAGTTACTTGGCTTCTCTGGAAAACCTATACTACTATGTAACAAAATCATGTTTATCCAGATGATTAGGACCAAGTACTCAGATTTTTAAAAAAATCCACACAAAGGATAGCTACAATAATACAAGTACAATGAAAACCACAAAAATAAGAAAAACAGAAATCTTGAAGGGGGCTCACATTTCCACGTGGCACATATTCTAAATGCCAATCAGGGGGAAAAAAATCACCTGCTAAGATTTTTAAAAACTTAAGCCCCATGTGAAGTAGAGAAGGGAAGAAAAAAATTCTGCCTTATCCATATCCCTTATTTTGAAAAATCTGACCAGATTTTTAGATGTCTGTCTAAAGAAACAAAAACAAATAAACAGAATAGGGAGCCACATTTATCTTCTGTATGTAACTGGTTCCATAAAGAGCACTTTCTGGCTGTTGATTCATAGGATCTAAGTTATGGGCCAATTGTTGACACACATAGAAATATTCTAGATTGCTTCTGGTGGGGCTTTACATATGGCAGTGTACAAACTACAAAGAGTAATTTATTACAGTCAAACCTCAGTTCTCAAACATCCCCCATCTCGAACAATTCGCCTCTCAACCTGACAACTCTTTTATGCTGATACTTGTATGATCATTCCCATGTCTCTTGGGCGACAAAGGAGAGTCTGAGTCAGTTTACCACTAAATCTCACGCTGTTAACATCCCAGGAAAGTATGCTGTGAATATTTTCGTGTTTTTATGCTTCTGTTGCTGCTTATTATGAAATTTTAATTTTTTACTGTACATTTTTTATTGAATTTTCATTTACATTTCATGTCCTTTTTGTTTTTAAAGTGTTTATTTATAGATTAAACAGTATATTAGACATGTACTGTATATAAAAAAGGCTAGCCCTAGCTGGATTGGCTCAGTGGATAGAGTGTTGGCTTATGGACCGAAGGGTCCTGGGTTCGATTCTGGTCAAGGGCACATGCCTGGGTTATGGGCTTGAGCCCCAGGAGGGGGTGTGCAGGAGGCAGATGATCAATGATTCTCTCATCATTGATGTTTCTATCTCTTTCTCCCTCTCACTTCCTCTCTGAAATAAATTAAATATTTTTTAAAAGGCTAAAACAAGGAATCATTTGGGGGGGGGTCTAGAACGGATTAATTCAATTCAGATTACTTCTAATGGTAAATAATGATTTGGTTCTTGAACAGCCTTCCAGAATGAATTAAGTTTGAGAACCGAGGTTCCACTGTACTTCCTTTTGAGAGACAAGGGGACATAGTGAAAAGAGTATGGATTTTTGAGCAGGTGAACCTGTTGAATATTGTTTCTACCATTTACCCTATGTGAGATCTTGACCAAATTAATTTCTCCAGGCCTCAGTCTCCTCCTCTGTAAAAGGGAGTAAAACCACCTACTTCACAGGAATACTACAAGGGTTGAGAGAATACATGGGGCACACATAATAGTAGTTTCTTCAGCAGCTTTGAATTGCTCCATTGAAAATCAAATGATGAACTTCACTAAGTTTCTCCAAGGCACTTTGGCAGTCTGTCAGTAGTGGGGAGCCTGAGGTCAATTTCTGGAACACAGAAAAGATACCCGAAAGCCTGTCAAGCTCCAGCCCACTTAACAGAGAAAACGAAAAACAAAACAAAACACAAAAACCAACCAAACAAAACAGATTATATTGAACTGATGATTAATATGGGATCCTGCTTGCATTTGATGAGGTCATTAAACAAAAAACTAATTACAAAAGACACTCATGTTCAAAATATATTTTAAATGTTACTGAATGATTAAGCACTTGTTAGGTAGGTAAAACACTTCAGACTATTATACTTTTTCCAGTCTAAATAAGCCTAAAATTGTCTCTAACACGGTAGTCTGTAAGAGCAGAATTCTGTTATGAGGTATTTTTGATCCATTTATAGAGCATTAGCATCTAGTAAAAAGTAAAAGCATGTTTATAACATTAAAGGTTGGCTAAAATGATTTGTATCATGTGCAAAGATGAGAAAAGAACAATTCACTTCACAGTAAGAAACAGTAAATCGTTATTTAGTATTCCCACAGGAAGCATTCCTAATAGGGCCCTTGTATAAAGCAAGGTTTGAAAAACTGTGCTAAGACTTGACTTGCTTTAGCTTTAGTCCTCATAACTTTCCTATGAGATAGTTATATTACCTTCACTATTTTACACAATGAAAAACTGAGGCATAGGTCAGATTAAGTAATTTAAATTGTACTGCTAGTAAATATTAGGACCAGAATTTGACCTTAGGCAGCCTGACTCTAGGGCCCACTCTCTCAAATGCCTTGCAATATTGCTTCCTTTCTAGGTATTAAAAGATGGTGGTTATAAAAATATTCTAAGTGCTGCTATGAATGAGCACTAAAGTAAAGGCAATTAGTGCTGCTTGGGTTGGACTAAACTAATTAAGTCAAAGGCTCTGAATCTTGATCTGCCTTTAACAACTACAATTAATGCCTAATTGATTTGGCACTACTAGGGAATAGAACACTAAAATGTTCCATAAATAAAATTTCCAGAAATGAAACTTCTCTTTGAGTGCCAAACTTCTTAAAGTATTTTAAATTCCAAATTTCAATAACAGCTAAGCCTTGCTGTTCAGTAATTTTTTCCTTGAAATTACTTTCTTAAACAAAGGATATACAATTGACCCTTTCTTATTGACCCAGAGTAGTTATCATGCTCAAATACAACACTATATTTTAATATTCTAATGACCTCCAGGGACCCTAAGGTGTAGAGGACTTAATTGTCTTCAGACTACAGGACCCTAGGCTACTAAGCTTGGAATGTCTGTGTTTTGCATCTTCTTCCTCTATTTGTACTCACTTCTTACAACTGGCCATGCACCCACTTTTAAGCTTTACACGCCCCTCCATTTCTAATTTTTGCTTCTGATCTGCACTGAGCTAGGAAACCAGGTTTTTATAAATGGAATTGCGAAGGAGACTAGACTGTGGGTGGTGAACACACAATAGAACATATAGATAATGTACTATAGAAGTGTATACTTGAAACCTATTTAATTAACCAATGTAACCCCGATAAAGTCAATAAAATATTTTAAAATAAAGAAATAAATATATTTCCTTTTTAAGAAAACAAAAATAAAAATGGAATTGCATGGTAAAGAATCCAGAGATTCTGAGTGAGGGTTTCCCCATGAGAAATTTTGTACATTATTTTATTGTGGACTTTATGGCACTTTTTTTTTATTTTTCAGAGGATGGTTTAAGTGATTACTTCTTTTTTCCCCCAATTTTAAAGGACTCAGTTTATTAACGGACCAGATTACAAAAATAACCATGGTAGATACCTTAGTTCACTCTTCTAATAAGCCTATTGATCTGGTCCCCCTGTTACCAGCATCTCCACCTTCTAGAAAACGGGTGGTCTTTTTCTTCATCCTACCTCGTGGAGAAGACAACTTGAAGGGCCACAGGAAGTTGTTTACTTCTTTGAAGCGCTTTCCAACAGTATAGATCTCATGAATCAGATCTCCCATGCAGATGATTTCATATTTACCAAGAGATTGAGCAATCAGAGTTATCTGTCAGGGCAATTTGTTTTTTGTTGACTTTGCCATAACCACACTTGTAGATCAATTCATTTATTGACTTCAGGTTTGGGTAACCCCATGCAATGTGTGCCTCCACATCCTCAGCTTGTTAACTGAAGCCTTGTTGAGCTTAACAAAGGTGCCTCTGAAGATCTGGAGAAGGCAAAGAAGCTGCAGCATCTTCCAGATCTTTGGGCTCACACCATTGATACTTCTAATCCTGATGACAAATGCTAATTTGGGTTCAGCAGGTACAAAGAAGTGGCCAGCTTCTCTTGTCACCCGAGCCATTCAAATCTCCTTTCTGTACATCTGCTTGTATTCCTTGTGAGAGTGCTTAGCTTTTTCATAGATGAGCTTCCTTCTTGCCTTTTAAAGCATCTTTTGGGCAAACTTCTTTCTCAGGTGCTTGATCTTCAGCTCTGTGAAATTCATTCACTTTTTCTTGAGGGTTTCTGGCACAGCAGGAACTTTCTTCTTCTCTTCTGCACCCTCAATGGCTCCAGCCAGAAAACAGCTTAAGTGATTATTTATTTCCAATTGTATCAGAGGATCATTATTACCAAAGTAGCTGCCAAATAAGTTGAGCTGCCATAAATCTTAAGCATCCCTACACAATCATTCAACTCCTCTTTGTAACTCAGTTTCTAACTTCAAAGTAGTGATAATAACATTATTCAGACTGCTGCCTAAAGAAAACTACATTTATATACTGCATAACTATGTTTTCATCAATGTTCTTAATATAGGATGATGGTCCTATCTATAGATATAAAGAGCCAGGGGCTGTCAGATCCGAAACAACCGAATGGATGACCGAACTGGCTAAGTGGGGCGACAAGGCTGCAGGGGGGTTAATGAGGAATGACCAAATGACTGAAGAGCAGGCTGTGTGGGGAGACCAGGCTGAAGGGGGGGGAGGGCAGTGAGGGGCAACCAAACAGCAGGCTGTGTGGGGTGACCAGGCCAGCAGGGGGGGGCAGTGAGGGGTGACCAGGCTGGTGGGGGGGCAGATGGGGGCAACCAGGTTGGCAGGGGGGCAGATGGGGGCAACCAGGCTGGCAGAGGAGGGCAGTTGTGGGCGACCAGGCTGTCAGGGGGCAGTTGGGGGCGACTATGCTGGCAGGGGGGACAGTGAGGGGCAACTAGGCTGGTGGGGGGGCAGTTGAGGGCAACCAGGCCGGCAAGGGGGGCCGTTAGGGGCAATCAGGTTGGCAGGCAGTGACAGTAAGGGGTGATCAGGCTGGCAGGGGGTCCAGTTAGGGGCGATCAGGCAGGCAGGCAGGTGAGCAGTTAGGAGCCAGTGGTCCTGGATTGTGAGAGGGATGTCCAACTGCCGGTTTAGGCCCGATCCCCCTAGGGGTCCGGATTGGAGAGGGTGCAGGCTGGGCTGAGGGGATCCGCCCTCCTCCCCCAGGCACAAATTTCATGCACCGGCCACTAGTAAGATTATAACAGAGCTGAAAATTTCCTATCATAAAGACCTACCTAGCACAGTGCATTACTCACATTTGTGGTGATGCTAGTGTAAACAAACCTACTACACTGCCAGTCATATAAAAGCAGAGCAGATACAATTATGTACAGTACATAATCCTTGATAATGAGAATGACTACATTACTGATTTATGTTAGTTACTATACTATAATTTTATCATTGTTTTAGAGTGTACTCTTTCTACTTGCAAAAAACCGTTTGCTGCAAAACAGTATGCCTTATTATGCTGGCATCAGCCTCTTACATCTTGTGTTTATTACCGCATCTCTTGATTGCTTCATTTTCTCTTCTGTTTGATTTAGTCTCACGTTGTTTTGTACAATGACATGCTGCATAGGCTTGTAGCCTAGGAGCAATAGGCTATACCACCTAGATTTGTATAAGTGTATTCTATGATGTTCCCACAATAATACAGTTGCCTGACAATGCATTTCTCAGAACATATCCTTTAGGTAAGTGGGGCATGACTATATTCATGTTCAAGTTTGGGGACAGAAGATATAGGAGACCAGAGGTCAAGAAAATTAAGTTCTATTTGTGGCTTTCCCAACCAAGTAGCTAGCTGCAAGACCTGTAGGCAAGGCTCTTTACAGTTCCTGTAATTTTAGAAAATTTAATTTTAAGACCCTTGATTAGTTTGGGAGTAAAGATGTAATTTATACCATAATTAATGACCTAAATTTTATACCCTCCAATTTCCCCTAAAAATATGGACATAATCTAACACACACACACACACACACACACACACACACTCATAAATGTCCAATGATGCTTTGATACATCTAGTTAACTAGAAGACTATTCCTTCAAAATATTCTGTAGATACTAAATTGAACAAATTAAACTCTTCCTTTTTACATGTTAAGGTGAGTAATTTTCCCATGAAAAAGTCCAAATGCCTAATTAAAATAACTTTTAGTACATCCCACACAAGTGAGAAATCTAAGTACTGGTGGTATTCCTTACTATAAATTAGGGGTGGGGAACCTTTTTTCTGCTAAGGGCCATTTGGATATTTATAACATCATTCGCAGTCCATACAAAGTTATCAACTTAAAAATTAGCTTGCTATATATTTGGTCAAACATTTAATTAACTCTCCCCTAATGGCTTGGCAGCCAGACCAAATGATTTCATGGGTCTTATATGGCCCAGGGGCTGGATGTACTCCACTGTGCTTTAAATAAAACCTAACAAACCAAAATAACTTCAAATGTTCATTTTTCCATTTCAAAATTTTCAACATATAGAATATTTTCAGAACTAATATTTTGACACATTTGAATATCTGAGAAACATAAAGTTTAATTTAAACAATAAATGTGCTTCTTAGAAAGTTTAACGTTTACTTATTTATCTATTTAAATCTTTATTGTTGAAAGTATTACATAGGTTCCCCCTCCCCAGGCCCTCACCGCCCCATTGTTTGTGTCCATGGGTTATGCATATATGCATATAAGTTCATTGGTTGATCTCTTCCTACCC